TATTTTATCCAATCTCAGTTCATATTATGACTTATTTCATTTTTCTTAGGATATTCTCATATCTTATTTTACAATATTATCTAGCATTCTTGTCTCATTTCTATATTCATGTTCCACATTGCCTTTATCTGTCAAATTTGCAATTTATCAATCCTTATTCTATTAATTCTCATATTGTCCCAGTTGGTTGTTGATTCAAGCTTACCACCTTCATTCTACTTTAGTAACAATATTTCTCTATTTACTACATACCAAATACACAGATATATTATATCAGATTCCGCATAGCATTTCTCAATCACCTTTTTAATCATGTACACATTGCAAAATATTAATCTAGTCAACTAGTTGTAGCAGCTAACATTAATCTTTCTATAATAATTCTCATATTTTATACATCCCTAATCATCAATTAATATATAATATTCTTATTATAAATTTCTATTTCCATATTTATTTCATTATAGTCCATATCTAATATAACTATAATCCTTTAATAAAAGAGAAAAGAGAGAAAAAAACCAGTATCAGTTACAATCTTAATCTATTTTCAATACTTATTCTTATCACAACACATTACCTTGCGGAATCTCCCCCCTATCCTTTTTTACCCATTATCTCTCACTCTCCTAACAATATAATTTCTTTTCATTCTTGTTTGTTTCCTGCTTCTCTTTATTTTCTGGTCCTTTCTCTTAGTTCCCTTTTCCCATTATTATTCCCCTCCATTTCTCATTCCAATTACTTATTGTATCTCCCTCCCTCTCTCGATCTTTCTTTTGTGCTTCCTTTTTCTGCTTTTTCCTTTTTTTTTCATTTTCCAAACCATTCCCCCTTTTGTTGTCACATCAGACTACAAGTTTGTAAGTTTAATTCCTTTTTCCCCCTGCTTAAATGATTGTTGCTCTGCTTGATCTTCAAAGCTGGTTTCCTCTTTAACTCCTCCCCCTCTGGTTCTCTTCGTTCTTCTGCAAGCTGAGTCACCATTTCTAGTTTCTGTAATATATTGCTGCACATTTCGTCTCACCTTCATCATTTCCTTCATGTCTCATAAATCCAATCTTATTCCAACAAATAATTCCCCCATTGTCTGCTCCTTTTCCCCCCTCTTCCTTAATAGATATATCCAATCCAAAAGTCCAGTATGTTATTTCAACCAGCGTCTTTTATATTTATTTTCATTTATTTTTTATATTTATTTTTTATATTTATTTTATATTGATTAATCTCTTTATTTCCAGGTCTTCTAGTAGATCCTTTTCCAGCTGTTTCACTGGGTGGTTCTAAAACAATGTTTTCAAGTATCTTTCCCCTTATAGTATTCTGTTATCATTTTTCAGGGTTTTTATTTTATTATAATGAAGTTTCTCTTATTTTCTTTTAAATTCCAAAGTCCAATTTATTAAAAAAACCAAACCCTTTTCAAAGTCACTGAAATTTTTCCTGTACCATCAGGTGGCGCTCTTGGTTCTTTTTCCACAGTTCACTCGTTCTTTTACTTTTGCTTTTTTAAAAAAGAAATAGTTCGCTAATTTCAATTATTAGCTATTATTTCTTTTCAACATGTTCAATTCCAGCATTTATTTATGCCTATTTAGTTATCCAATTTAATTTCCAAGCCTTTTGTGCTCAAATATTTTCCTCTGAATTTTCTCCTCCAAGTTAATTCATTGCAATAGTTCAAGCCAATTTTATAAATTCCAATTTCCTTCTCACTCTTTCTGGTTGCCGCCTCTATGCACTTTCCTCCAAAATAGTCCCTTTATTTTTTAATACCAGGGTACCTTAAAGTCCATGTATTTTGCCTGGTTCACACTCCACTTGCTGCTTCACCGCTCCAGCACAGTCTTAGTTTCCCAGACTGCTCCTTGACTTCGTGGTGGCCATTTTAGACCACTGCCGCAACTTGCCTTTGGAAGGGTTTTTTCTTGTCAGGGAGGGGAGTGGCGACTCCCCTCAACCCTCCAAGCGATACACCCTTTCTTCACCACCTTCCAGGGTACTTCCAGTCCCAATCCGAACCCTCCAACAAGTGAGCTCGGAATGAAACCGTGCATAATCGCGGATTCTGCTCCAACTCCGACGACGAGCAACTGGAAGTCAGCTTTGCCCAATTTTATGACCTTCCTTGACATAGTTAAGTGAAACACTTGGCATGAGGGATTTTTTTTGAAGAAAGATCAATACTATTTACAAGTAGATAAGTTGCAAAAGTTACACAATTAGTGCATAATATATTACAGAGGAATTAACATAAAAATAGAATACATTTTTAACAAAATCAAAAAGGATTTTAAAGAATCTACCTACCTACCTTCTAAAGCACCCATTTCCCTCAGATGTTTTTGCATTTCTGAATTAAATGTCAATATCTTCATAATTTTATTAAAGATACACCTACCAAAAATGAAGAAAACTATAAAAATAAATATTTAATTTATACCGAGAGATTTTTTACCTAAGATAAAAGGACATGATTTATCCAAAATAGTAATCACAGTAATCACAGCCTATTTCACTGAACTGAATTCCAGAAAATTAACCAGGTATGTTTGCTTTAAGATAGCTGTATTCTTGATACGTCTTTGTTTCCCTTTTCTCACACTTTTACTGAATTTAATTTTAAAGAAGCTTTCTGCTTCATGTTATCTTTTGCACAATTATAATACAACACTATATATTAAAGCCACTATCAGTACTATTATATAGTATCCAGCTTTTTGTATATTTATTTCCAAAGTTAAAATACAGAATAAAAGAAATAGTATACAAAAACAGAAACAAACAAGTGTATAAAACAAGAATTATCCCCCCTTGCAAAATAGGCTACCAATTTATAAATGTCTGGATCTATATTTGCAAAATTGCTATATAAATTAAAACATTTAATTTCAATTGTAGAAATCTATTACCAATCAACCAGTTTGACCTACTATTTAATCTCCTGTAAAAAAAAGCTAACAGGCAGTCCTAACCATGAAGCTAGACCTCAGAGGCCTCTGTTAAAAATCTATTATTGTATTTAACTTATAGAAAGTCCTTAAAAGCAACTTCTATTCTCTCATAAGAATCAATCATTGATTGATCTTGATAATAAAAACAGCTCCCAGTTTACTAGCGCTTGAGCTTGATAATTCCAAACAGTTTCACTAGTTAGGACATGAAAGGAGCATCAGGTATGCAGAAATTAACATTTGAAAAATCTGATGATGACACTAACAGATATTCACAATGTGACACTATAGTGCTAAGATAAACAACCAGGAATTTTTAATTAAGGCAGCACATTCTTTATAGTGGAATTTTAAGAAGCAAGGAATATCACATTACTTGAGTTGTAAATGTAATAAAGACTTAAAATAATGTACTGTACATAAAGCTTGCTTATCCATCAGAAATATATACCAGAATGTTAAGAATTCAAAGTAAAATAAAAGATTTAACGAGGAAGAAAGTATTGCTATACAGAAAAAATAAGAACATGCCAATTAAAACTTTTTAGTCTGGAGAAACTAGGTGCTCCTAATTTACTCAATAAAGAGACTATTTCCTCTTAAGAAATATTGGTATGTCTATTTGAGATCATATGCTGAAAATAAGATGTTAATAAAAGGGGCGTTAGTCTTACCTGATACACTCCTTCTTAAGTGTGCTGAGAGAGAATCCAAGGAATGGGTTAATTCTGCTCTTCTGCTCAGAGACTGAGTCAATCATTTCTTTGGTTACACCTCCTTTGCCTGAGCATGCCCAGTTTTGATGAAGACTTAGTGATTGCCTTGCCATATTCCTGTGCAGATTCTGGTCCCCCCTGGAATCTAAGCCAGACAGCCGCCAGGGTGGGGTTGGATTCTCTCTCAGCACATCAAGAAGGAGCGCATCAGGTAAGATCAACACCCCTTCTCCGGTGTGCTCAGCAGAGAATCCAAGGAATGGGACATACCAAAGCTGGCTGTTGTAAGGGTAGGTAGCAATCCGGTCCTGAGTCCCAAAGTTTACATGCACCTTCTGAAGCACCCGCCTGCCAAAGGCCCCTTCAGCTGAAGCAAAGACGTCCAGTTTGCAATGTCTTATGAATGGGAATGGGAAAGACCATGTTGCTGTTCTAAGATGTCCTCGACAGAGGCCTGTGTATTCCATGCAGCCATTGTGGCTGTGCTTCTGGTTGAATGGGCTGTCATTCATCTGGGAAACAGCAGGGCTTAAAGCTCATAAGCTTTGGTGATTCATACCTGCATCCACCGGCTATGGTCAATGGTGTAACCTTTGTTACGTATTATGGATGGCTGGAAGGACACAGATTCTGTCCTTTTAATAGAGGCTCCCCTCTTTAAGTAGGAGCGGAGGGCCCTCCTAACATCCAAAGTATGCCACTTTTTATCCAGGACGTGAGGTGGGCTCGGACAAAGTCTGGTAAGATTATTTTCTGTGCCCTGTGGAACGAGGAATTCACCTTGGGAAGGAGGAATCCAGCCACAGAACCACCATTATCAAATAGAATATGCAAAGGTCCTCTCTTATGGGGCCACCAGCTCCGATATCCGTCTGGCCGAAGTGATGTCTACAAGGAAGGCCACCTTGAAGGTGAGGAATGGTAAGCTATCTGATCATAACAGTTCAAATGGCTATGACATTAGTGCTCATAATACTTTAGGCGGGTCTGCAACATCCACCACTGGAGTGATTGCAGTACATTTGTTGGGAGTTGGACCCTGGTATTCGAGTTGCTCCTGCCAGGCCATTGGTAGGGAAGGAGAAACCACTGCAACATTCTGGCGTGTAGCTAAGGCCAGGGTATGATCAATATGCAGGACACCATTTTGCCCAGGAGTTGTGAGAGGAGGGTCAGGGACTCTACTGCCCGGATGGGAGAGGACTGTATCAATATATCGTCCAAGTAACATTGGACCCACACTGAGACTGCTCTGAAGTGTGCTACCAGTGTTGCCAGGCTTAACCATCCACCAATGGGAGGGTTGGACCTGTCATCACTTGGTGCAGAGGAAGGGGTGACTGGGCGTGCCCCAAAATGGCCACATGCCATGAAGTGTTGCCCATTCCTGTCCCTGACTCCGGATCCATCCGGTTGTCGGTCTTGTCTGTGGGTGTGTGCCCTCTGAGATTGAGGGGGATCAAATCCCATGTCTGTGAAAATAGGGTGAGGGCGGCGGTCAGCCCGCCTGTAAACTGAAGGTAGGATCTTCCTCCTGTCCTTAGTTTCCACCAACATGGGCTCTAGGACCTCTCCAAACAGTTTGCTCTCCTTGAAGGGAACAGAAGCTAGTTTCCATTTATACTTCATGTCTGCCTGCCAATGTTTAAGCCACAGCAGTCTACGGGCCGCCACTGAGGCGGCAATGGCCCTGGAAGCAAACCTTGTGGCATTCAAAGTGGCATCCAGTGAGAATTTCGTAGTCACTATCAATTTGTTGATGTCTTGGTGTAATCGAATGTCCCCAGGCCCTGTCTTGCATCTGGTGAAGCCAGATAAATGATGCCCTGTTGAAAAATGAGGCAGCTGTAGCAGCTTTGACAGTCCAGGCAGCTGCCTGGTGCACCTTACAGAGGGTTAGCTCCGCCTTCCTATCCTTTGTCTTCAAAACATCCTCTGAGTCGTTACGTTAGGCAGGATGGTGGAGGATGTTAAGGCCGCTATTGGTCCATCTATGGTTGGTGGTTGTTGTACCTCTGAGAAATCTGGGCCACATTATAAAATCTCTTGTCATTCCTGCTTGGGGGCGGCAATACCCCTGGTTGAGCCCATTGTTTTTGGACATCTCGGAATAGATTAGGTGAGGGAATCTCCTCACTCTCCGCAGTTGGCTTTGCAAAGAGCTACTCATCTGGATCCACCAGGTCCAATGGTGACTCTGCTGTAGTTAGGTCAGTTCCCAAGTGTGTTACTGCTTTGGCCTTAAACAATAAGGACTTAAAGAGAGCTGGACGAAAAAGTCCTGTGAATGCTGGTGTATCTGGAGCTATCCCCTCATCCACTGAAAGTTCCATTTATTTTTGGTCCTCATCCTGAGAACAATGTCTCGCTGTGCATGGATGAAGGGGTTGAGCGTGACCTTTGGAAGGCTGCAAAATCTCTTTGATACCATCAATTGGTCTTAAGGGAATCTGCCTGTGTCACAGGGGAAGTCTGACTTCCCTGCTGTAGATCTGAGGTGATGGCCTGTGTTAAGGATATCAGAATTTTCATCTGATCCATAATTTCAGGGCCCTGGCTCTCTTGTGAGCGAAGACACACTGCTGTGGGTGTAAAGGTGGCCTCTGGTGCCGTCTTCATCTGCTTTGGTGGTGCTCTCTGCTCTCCTGTTGGCAAGAAGCTTGCCTGTCTAGCAGGAAAACCCTGCTTTCTAAACAAAGGGTTGGCTGATAGTATTGCTCTCTGGTGCCATCTGGCGACCCAAACTCGCCCCTGGTATTACCTGGTCCACATGGTCTGCCATCTTTTGTCCCTTTTGCCCCTCTAAGCAAGGCAGGCTCATTCCTGAGCAGAAACTTGATGCTGCAGCTTTTTTTCTCTTAGACACTTCGGAGTATGCCCAATACACAATTGAGCAGTGACTGTAGTTCCCTCTGTCTAAGCAGACCTCTCCTGGGGACCTCGACTCTACCCTGAGTCAGAATAGTGGCTGTGCCAAACAGGAGAAGAAGCTCCGATTGGGGGAGCCAGCCACTTTGATGTCTGCAACATCTATGCTGATTAGGTTGGGGAAGCCAGCGGATCAGCTGAGAGAAGTAGTTATCTGGACAGACAGGAAAGCCAGTCTAGCCATTCGCAATCCTGCAAAGTCTTTATGTAGAGCTGGGACCTGAGTGTTTTGAAAAATCCAAGGAATAGTCTGCTCTTTTTGATTCATGAGCACCTCCTGTATGCGTGTCTTGAGTAAAGACTAAGTTGAAACTGGGCATGCTTAGGCAAAGGAGGCATGACCAAAGAAATGATTGACTCAGCAGAAGAGCAGAGTTAACCCATTCCTTGGATTCTCTGCTCAGCACACTGGAGAAACTGCAATTCTCCCCACTTTTAGATCTGTGCCTTTGAAAATATATAGCTGCTTGAGAGGATTTGTCTAATAATTTTAACCCTTTGTAATATTTAAACAAAGCTTCTCTCTTTCTTCCCAATTCATTTAACTTATTCCCTCATCTCACCTCCATCCACTTTTATTACCATTTTCCTTTTTTCCCCCTTAGTGAGTTTTTCTTTTCTTCCCATGTTTCTTGCTGTTTTTGCTGCATACTGTGTGCCTTAACTAGCACTAGATGTCACAAGCGCATTATATTTGTGATGCAAGTCTTGCAATGGCCACTAAACTTTCAAGTGCATTTAAAAATGTTAGCATTAGTCTTTAAAGTCCTATCTGCTTTAGCATCAAAATGTCACTGGCTTTTTCAATTACTGGCAGAACAGACCCAGGAGGGGAAATGGATGTAATTCCTCACTATCAAGAGATTTTTGCCTTTCCTGAGGCAGGTTAGGAGAAAGTTTTTTAACTAAGGATATAAATACAAAGGGGTTTTATATATTGCACCAGTTAACTACGACTGTTGACTTTATCTGTTGAATAGTTGTTGTTTTATCTTTATCTATTGAACTATATACCTTAGATATTTAACTGTTTATATACTGCTAAGTCATGTGACTTTAGTGGTATAAAAGTCTAATACAAATTTATTTTCTGAAGGCACACATTATGTATACGCTTCACTAAATGGTCACCTGTTCAGATGCACAGTAAGGCATCTTCATTGGTTTCAGCTGAAATTGGCAATTTTGAATTTAACAACTTTAGCGTTACAGTTAGTCCTCAATTTTAAGGTTGACTCAGCCTTCCATTCTTCTGAGGTCAGTAAAATGACGACCCAGTTTGTGGGGGGCAATATGCTGACTCTGTAAACAACTTAAAGCGAGCTGTAAAGCACTGTGAAGCAGTTTATAAGTCTAAGTGCTATTGCTATTATGACTGGTCACTTAATGACTATTTGAAGTTATAAGGTATGTCCCCAGAACTATTTACAATCTGTTTTTGGAGTTATGATGGCCACACACTCTTGCAATCATGCGATCACATTTTAGGTGCTTGGCAACAACTCGCCTTTATTGCTGTTTCCAGTGCCTCAGTTACATAACCACAATTTCCAGCAAAAAAAAAAAAATCATTGAGGAAAATGAATTTGCTTAATGTGGAATCCAATTAACAACTGCAGTGTTGGCTTAACAACCATAGTTAAAAACTATTGTAACTTCAATTCTAGTCACGTGATGCTCGATTTACAACTGCAACAACTTGTGACTATAATTCTGAGCTCAATTACAGCCATGTCAAGGACTACATGTATAGATAATCCTTGACTTACTGTACAGTCATGATTGGGACCAGAATTTATGTCTTAAGTAATTGGACATTGGTTGAGACAGATTCACTTTCTGCAAAGCAGGCATAATTTTGAAAAGTCATTAAATGAATGGTAGCAAATCAAAGACTACCTGTACATATCGTTTTGTTTGTGCTTCTAAGCCCTTTCTATTTATTCATCTTTGGGGAAAGTTTTCTTTTACCTCTGAGGTAAAAACAAAAGTTTTTATTTAACCAAGCATATTTACATCGCATTAAAATGTGCAGCCCTCACAAGACAAATTAAAATAATTAAAACATGAAATGGTGAACTGGTGTCACATACAGGCCCCCAGGACATTCAGAGGCATTCTGGTTAAGAAGGGAACATTCTAGCTGAGGATATGACAGCATTCTGGTTGAGGAGGGAACCCAGATGGCAATGAAAGGAGAGAATGTAATCATGGGCGACTTCAACAGTGGAATCTTGCTAATGCACTTAAAAACAGGAACAGGAATATGTTAGAGACATTAAAAGGTGCCTCTCTAAAACCATTAGTAAAATGCCCAACAAGAGGCATATTCTAGAACTAGTTTTGACAAATAGGGATAGGTAGGGGAAAGTTTACTTCTAGCAATCGCCAATGCCTTTGGATTAACATTAAATATGAAGGCAATACAGCATACACTAAAACTAAAATTTTATAGACTTCAAGTGGACAAATTTTACTGAAATAGGAGATTAGTTAAAACATAAATTTGAAGGGTGGCCTAAAGTGATAGTAGTCAGAGCTCAGTGAACACTGATAAAATCTGCCACCCTGGATGCAATGGGTCTTTATGTGAGGCTCATTAGTAAAAAAGAAAAAGAAAAACCCATTCTGATTTACAGCAGATGTACATAGGAGAAAAGGAGAAAAAATCAGCATAGACATAAAAATAGCTGAAATGTAGCTGATTGAGAGGTATACAAGAAGTATATAAGAAGCTACAAACAAGTTATTTCTGCTACTAACATGCAGAAAGAAGAGGAACTGGCTAAATCTATTTAAAAAGGGGACAAAACCTTATTTTAAAGGTATACAAGGGGGGAAATATGTAACCACTGAAATCAAAGATTTAAACAATTCTTATGCTAAGGGAGACCTTGGCTACAGCAAACCATCCAAACAAATACTTCTGCTCATTCTTCTCAGAAGTAGATGCCAATTACAAAAATAAGTTGGAGGATCATATTAGTCCTAGCAGTGCAAGTTCTTTTCCATGGTGTTTAGAGTGGAGGTAGAATATGGATCCAGATGGTATTCATCTCAGCGTTCTAAGGGAACTTCTAGGTGTGCTCACTGGACCATTAACTGATCTCTTTAACCAGTCTCTCCTAACAGGTGAAGTTCCCTAGGACTGGCAAACAGCTAATTGTGTACCCCTCTGCAGGAAAAAGGGATAGGAAAGAAGCTAGAAACTATAGGCCAGTGAACTTAACATCTATAGTGATAAAGTTAGTGGAATCACTGAGAAAAAAGGATTAATATTTAAAACTGCACAACTTGATGGAGCATGGCTTTACTGAGGGCAGATCACATCAAACTAATCTGATTGACTTTTTTTACTAGTCACAAATGTTTTAGATGAAGGTGGTGCTCTGGACATAGCCTATCTGGATTTTAGCAAACCATTTGATACAGTTCCACATAATGAGCTTATAAAAAAAGTTGTAGACGCTAGGGCTTAACCGCTGGATGATCCAAGGGATTGAAAGTTGGCTCAGGTGTAGATCCCAGTGTGTGATTATTAACGGGTCACTGTCTGAACAAAGACCAGTCATAAGTGGTGTACCATAAAGCTCTGTCCTAGATCCTATTCTGTTCAATGTGTTCGTAAGTAATAGAACAGAAGGGCTGCCAGATAAGATTTGTCTTTCTGCCAATTACACAAAAGTGGGTGACAGAGTTGATGTTCTTAGGAGCATTCGTAACATGGAAAATGATTTGGCATTGCTGGAAAATTAATCAAAAATATGGAAACTGCAGTTCAGTGTTTTTAAATGTAAGATTATGCATGGGGGAAATCTAGGGGGGAGTACAATTCTGGAGGTATAGTGTTAGACAGAACAACAGAAAAAAAGGATTTAGATGTGCTCATGGCAGATGATTGCAAGATGAGAAAACTGTGTCAAGGCAGTTGTGAAAGCAAACAAAATTCTGGGGTGTTCACTAGAGGATCAACAGCTGGAAAAAGAAAGCCTTAATCCCGCTTTATAGGGCTTTAGTCAATTGCCTATTTAGAATGGGCATTGGTAGAAGTTACCGTGAACGCCCTTTCTCTCTATGCTGCGAGAGAACCCAGGATGGGTTGACTCCTTCCTATGATGTCATTTAGCTGAATCTGTATTAAGATATAAAAGCCAGCCCCGGAAGAGACCCCAGATTTGGCGAAGATACTTGACAGACTGAAAGGTGTCTCTGAAAGCACAAAATGAATACAGAAATATGTCTTACCCTCTCTGGACAAATCAAGAGAGGGGCTGGGCTCTCTCGCAGCATAGATAGAAAAGGCGTTCACGGTAACTTCTACCAACATCCATTCTCCTCCATGCTGCATTGAGAACCCAGGATGGGACATACCAAAGCTTGCATGTCCACAGTCGGGTCCTCATCCGGCTCATCACACCGACTATGAAAACACTCGTTGAAGCACCCATCTGCCGAAGGCTGCAGTTGCTGAGACAAAGGCATCCAGACGATAGTGTCTGATGAAAGGAGATGTCCATGTGGCCACACGACAAATCTCCTCCAAGGATGCTTGGGTCGCCCAGACAGCAGAAGTGGCCGCACTTCTGATAGAGTGCGCCGTCAGACCTCGGGGAACCGGAAGGGCCGCAGCTTCGTAGGCCTACTCAATGCAAATCCTGACCCACCTGCTAATAGTAGAAGAGACCTTGTGCCCCAAGTGAGAAAGGAAAAAGGAAATTAACATGACTTCCGACTTCCTGAAGGAGGAAGTGTGCTTAATGTATATTCTAAGAGCCCTTCTTACATCTAGTGTGTGCCACTGCTGCTCTAAGTCATGGTGCAGGGGGGGGCAGAAGTCAGGCAACACAATGTCCTGGGACCTGTGAAACCAGGTGTTAACCTTTGGAACAAATAAGGGGTCCAAACGGAGAACAACCCTATCATCGTGAAAGGAAAAAAGGTCCTGTCTGATGGAAAGAGCAGCGAGCTCGGAAAACCGCCTGGCTGAAGTGATGGAAACGAGGAACACTACCTTCAGAGTCAGGAAACAGAGAGACACTGTTCTAAGGGGTTCAAAGGGGGGCTTCGTAAGGGCATTAAGGATCACATGAAGGTCCCAGGAAGGATACGTGTGACCCACCAGTGGGTGCAGGTTGGAAGCCCCTTTCAAAAACCTCCTGACTGAAGGGTGATAGGATAAGGAAGGCAGTGAACCCCATGAGAGAACCGAGGAGGGCCGCAACCTGCCTGCGTAAGGTGTTGAGGCCCAAACTTTTCTCCAGACCATGCTGAAGCAATCTAAGAACTTCTGCCAACTGGGCTGAAGCAGGAGAGAGACCCTAAGGCACCATCGGGAAAAGGCCTTCCAGGTGGCATCATAGATGCGCCTTGTAGAACATTTGCGAGACGCCAGGATAGTGAGGATGACCCTTTCTGGGAGATCAGCCTCCTCTAGCCACTGCCGCTCAAGTGCCACACAGTCAGCTTGAGCCACTGGGGCTCTGGATGGAGCAGAGTCCCCTGGTGAAGGGAGATTAGGTGGGCTGGGATCCTCCAAGGAGAAGCCACAGATAGGTTGACCAGATCCGCAAACCAGGGCCTCCTTGGCCAATAGGGTGCCAGGAGGAGGAGCTCCACTCGTTCCTCCAACATCTTCTGAATTACTGCCAGAATGATGGGAAGAGGGGGAAAGGCGTAGAGGAGACCCTTGGGCCATCTGCACCGCGTGGGAGAAGGCAAAACTTCTGCATGCACTATAGGCTTGGAGAAGAGCGAGTCTCCTTGGTCAGAGGAATCTCCTTGTGGCTCAGGAGCCACTTCCTCCGGTGACAGCTTGGCAGTGACCAAGGCCTTGCTGAGTAATGGCCTGAAGAGAGTAGGTTTGAAGACCAATGCAGAGGATGTCTGCTCTGGGCGAGAATCTTCTTCCTCTGATTTTGGTCATAAATCTCATCCTCTTCACACTCTAAACGAGAGAAGTAACTGTGCTCAGATGGTGACGCCTCTCCTTCCTCATCAACCTCCTCCCATTCTGGCAGCGAAGAATGGGCCCTGAGGTCCTGGGGCCTATGACATTCAGGGTGAGGAGGCAAGGAACTTATAGATTGAGAAGGGCCTGAACCCTTTCCAGAGGTCGAAGAATTCGCTTAAAGCCTTCAGCCAATCCTGCCTAATGGCCAAAGAGACAACATCTTGGATATCCCCTGGCCTATGCTCAAAGCTGGAGGCAAAAGGGAGAAAGCCCGCTGCTGTGGGAGTGAAGGTGGCTTCAGACCTATATTGAGAGGAGGCTCAAGGTCTGGAGGAAAGGGGGGCATAGGGCCCAGAAGCCTGTTGGAAGTGGGGCCCAGATCTGCTCAGATTCTGAGGATCTGATTGTTCTGCAAAGGTCCCAGGAGAACAGGATGGAGGATGAAAAGGCTCATATATAACTTCTCCTCTGGGGGAGGGCTTGGCTGGGGCTCACGGGTATCACCTGAAACGTTGCAGCTGCTCTCTCATCTGTTGAATTGTTCTGTTAAACTACCTCTCTAGGGCCGCATGTCTGCTCTTCTCTGCCCTCAACTCAGCCTGAGTTGCCTTCTTAGGGGCTAGAGCCTTAGCTCTGATTTTAGCAGTCACCTCCCTCTGGACTGGTTGGGAGCGCTGCCTATGTCTTTTTCTCTTATTGGGCTTAAGAGATTGATCCACTGGGGGGGGGGGGGGGGCTCTGCCTGAGCCTTATCCTGATCCATTTGTAGAAGGAAAGCTCTTGCGTTGGGAAGAAGCTGTTTAGAAATCTAGAATAAGTCCTTTAGGGTATAAAATGGCCCTGGGCTTACAAAATGGCCACTACCTCATGGCGGAAGGCTTCAATCCAAGATGGCCACTGACTAGGAAACCAGGCTCCGAGATCCAAGAATCGCTCCTTTGGCTATAAAGAGCCCTGAGCGAAGTCAGCAGAAAGCACAGCCACTGGCCACACGATCAGCTGGCTGGCGCTGTTATCGGTTTGCCGATCATTTTTATGATCGCTCAAACCACAGGCATGGGGGAGGTCTCGGCGCTGCTCCCAACGTTGCAAGAGAGGAAGCCCTGCTCTCCTGGAAGAGCAGCTGCCCAGATCCCTGGGAGCTGCTTGAAGAGAGGAAAAAGGTCCTGAAGATCGTTTATTGCAATTTAACGGAACGCTTTCAGAGACACAGCTACTGACTGAAAAAAGCTGAGTCAAAAGCTCGGGTCCCTTCCGGGGGCTGGCTTTTATATCTTAGTACAGACTCAGCTAAATGACGTCATGGGAAGGAGTCAACCCATCCTGGGTTCTCGATGCAGCATGGAGGAGAAAATTAGCGTTGGTACTTACCTGACACACCATTTCTAGTCGAGCTGCGTAGAGATCCAGAGAGTGGGAGGTGCTCTAGTCTTCACCAATTGCAGGCTGAGCTATAATTGAGGAACGCTCCTCCCACCATGGCTTCTCCATGCGTTCCCCAGTTTTTACAAAGACGAGAAGACAAACAACTATCCCCTCATCTTAACTATAAACAACACTTAACTACAAAAAAAAAACAATATGAATCGTTGGCCGAAACAGGATTCCCCACCAGACGGACCAAATAGGGTGGGGCTGGATGCTCTACGCAGCTCGACTAGAAATGGCGTGTCAGGTAAGTACCAACGCCCATTCTCAATCGAGCTGCTCCGAGCATCCAGAGAGTGGGACATACCAAAGCATGGCCTGTCCTACGGGGGGGACTCCGTCTGGCTCAGAGCATGTTCTGGATCTCTCACCACTTGCTGAAGGACTCGCCTGCCAAAGGAGGCTTCTGCTGAGGCAAAAACATCGATTTTATAATGGTGAATAAATGGAGATGGAGACGACCAGGTAGCCGCTCTGCAAATATCATGAATAGGAGCCTGAATAGCCCAGGCTGCAGAAGTAGCAGCACTCCTTGTAGAGTGAGGGGTTACTCCACTGGGAACAGGAAGCGCCTGTGACAAATAGGCCTTGGATATTGTAGCTCTAATCCAATGGCCAACAGTAGACGGGGAAACTTTGCAGCCCAGCGTCTTTGGTTGAAAACATAAAAACAAACCCTCCGACCTCCTGATAGGCTGAGTGCGACTGATATAGATACGGAGCGCCCGTCTAACATAGAGAGTATGCCACTGCCTTTCTCTCTCTTGAGAAGGACTTGGACAAAAGTTAGGAAGGACAAGCTCCTGTGATCTGTGAAAGGCTGAGTTTATCTTGGGCATGAAGGAGGGATCTGGCCACAGGACCACCCGATTAGCATGGAAAACGCATAACTCCTTTCTAACAGATAGAGCTGCTATTTCAGATATCCGACGAGCCGATGTAATTGCCACAAGAAAAACCACCTTGAGCGTGAGTTGGAGTGAAGTCTCTCTTAAAGGCTCAAAGGGGGGGCTTAGTTAGCGCCAAGAGAACCTTGTTGAGGTCCCAGGTCGGGTATCTGTGAACTACTGGAGGGTGCAAATTAGTGGCACCTCTAAGAAAAGCTCTAATGTGAAGATGGTGGGAAACCGGGCCAGACAGGTTGCCAGAGATAACCGTAGATAGGGCCGCCACCTGCCTTCTTAAAGTGTTGGGGGAAAGACCTTTGCCCAATCCTTCTTGTTAAAAGGCCAGAATTTGTGCAATTGATGGAGAGATCGGATTAATGTGTAACTTGTGGCACCACTTACAAAATATGTTCCAGGTGGCATTGTATATGCGAGTGGTTGAAGGCCACCTGGCTGCCAGAATAGTGTTGATGACCAGATCGGACATGCCCTCCTTCCTTAAACGGTCCCGCTCAACCTCCAAACGGTCAGCTGAAGCCATTGTGGATTTGGATGCTGAAGAGGTCCCTGGGACAGCGAAATCTTGTCCGGTGGAATCCTCCAAGGAGGAGCCACTGACAGGTTGTGAAGGTCTGCAAACCAGGGCCTCCTGGGCCAATATGGGGCCACCAGAAGAAGTTCCGCTTTCTCGAGGATTACCTTTTGGATCACCTTGAGCAGCAGCGGGGGGGGGGGAGCGTATAGGAGCCCCATGGGCCAAAGGCAACGCAGGGCATCGTGGTTCTCGGCCCCCTGGGTGAGGTACCGGGAGAAAAACCTCGATGTCTGGGCATTGGATGGGGACGCAAACAGGTCCACTAGCGGAAACCCGAACCTCCCTGAGGCCTCCCGGAAAAGAGAGGGATGCAGGCGCCATTCGGACTGGTCGGCGACGGTTCTGCTCAACCAGTCTGCCTGAACATTGGAGGCCCCCGAGATGTGCTCCGCCTTTATGGATAGCAGATTGGCCTCTGCCCATCGACAGATCCGTTCGGCCTCTTTCATGAGCCTGATGGAGTGAGTGCCCCCCTGCCGGTTGATGTGGGCCTTGGTCGTAGTGTTGTCCGTCAAGACCAAGACGTGACGCCCTCGAACTTGAGGAAGAAAGGTGCGTAATGCCAGATATACCGCGTGGAGCTCTAACCAATTTATGCTGCAAGAGCGCTCGTTTACTGACCAGGTTCCTTGAGCTGACAGCAAACGAAGGTGGGCCCCCCAACCTGTTAGGCTGGCGTCTGTTGTGAGGGTGACTCTCTGGGGTTCTTTGAACGGATGCCCTTTGTTGGTAGTGGGTCTGGTCCACCAGAGTAGCGAGGTGAGAACCTTGGAGGGAGCCTTACTACGAATCTTGAATTGCTCCTTCTTGAGCGTTGATAAGGTAGCAGGAACCACTGAAGGGACCTGGAATGAAATTGGACCCAGGGAACAATGGATATACATGAGATCATTTTCCCAAGCAATTTAGATAGGTCCAGCAATGAAGCTTTCTTTGCCCGCCTGAGGGCCTTAATCGAATTTTGAATGCTACCAAACCTTTCCGGGGAGAGGAAAACCTTTCTCTCAACTGAATCAATCACCGCCCCTAAAAGAACTATTCGAGTGGAAGGGGTAAGCTGGCTCTTTTCCCAATTTACAAGGAAACCATGATCCTGAAGTACTGAAAGAGTGGTTCTGGTGTCCCTCTCAGCTTGGCTTTGGGTTGGAGAAAGAATGAGAATGTCGTCAAGATAGCAGTAAATACGGACAGGGAGTTGTCTGAGGTGAGCTGCTAAGGCTGCCAAAACCTTGGTGAAGGTCCTGGGAGCCGAGGCTAACCCAAAGGGAAGGGCTACATATTGATAATGACAGCCATTGTAATAAAATCTCAGATATCTAGAAAAGGAAGGGTGAATGGGTATATGACAATATGCCTCAGAGAGGTCAATGGAAGTGAGCCAGTCTCCTTCCCTGGTGCCCTGTAGGATGGACTGAAGGGTATGCATTTTGAATTTATGATGAACAATATAACGATTGAGCCTTTTTAAATCCAAAATGGGCCTCCAACCCCCAGAGTGCTTAGGGACTAGAAAGAGGAGGGAATAGAATCCCTCTCCTCGTTGAGAAGGTGGCACGGGCTGTATGGCCTTAATATCCAACAGATGTTTAATGGCGGTCTCTAGGAGAGCGCGCTTGGTATGATCCCTGGAAATGGGAGAAACCATGAAGTGTTCGGGTGGAAGGACTTGGAACTGAAGGGAAAAACCAAATTGGACCGTGTCTTTAACCCAAGCATCAGACGTAGATGCTTCGCACTGGCTCGCGAAGAATTTAAGGCGACCGCCAATGGGTAAGGGAGCTGAAAAGCTATCTTGGACAGCGGGGAGTCTTACCTGCCGAACCCTGGAAGGGTCTTCTGTAACTACCCCCCCTCTGGATCTGTCTCCCGAATCGCCCCGGTCTCGATAGGCCGGGCGAAAGGTTGGAGATCTCTGATAACGGGGGGAGAAGGGAGTTTGAAAGGGGGTACGGAAGGAGCCCCTTTGAAAGGGCTGAAAGGATCTGGACTCTTGCCTACGAAAAAGAGCCGGAAGAAATTTCTTTTTGTTCCGGCTCTCCATCAACAATGGTTCCAGGGCCGGACCAAATAATTTATTTCCGGAGATGGGAGCTGAGGCCAGTTTCAACTTGTTTTTAATGTCGGCCTGCCAATGCCTAAGCCAAAGCAGCCGTCGGGCCGTAACATGAGAGGATATGGCCCGAGAGGAGAACTTCACCGAGTGAAAATTTGCATTGGCCGCAAACTCAGCTGCTGCTGTTAGTTTTGCAATATCTTGATGGGCCCTAGTATTAGATGGAGGAACATGCTGCTTCAGCTGTCGAAGCCACCTAATAGACGACCTAGTAAAAAAGGATGAGGCGGTGGCAGACCGAATGGCCCAAGCATCAAACTGGTGCGCCCGTCGCAGCGCCATCTCTGCTTTCTTGTCCTCCGGCCTTAAGGCTTCCAGAGCGTCTGTGGGGTTAGACGAGGATGCCAGTCTGATAATAGGGTCATCCAACTTGGGGGTGTCTAGCATGGTGGAGAAGTCTGCATCGAGATTAAAAAATCTCTTGTCCTGCCCTGAGGGGAGACTGGAAGAGGCTAACTGTTTCGCCACTAGATCGGAAAAGATTGGAGGGACTGGCACAACTTCGGCCTCCAACGCTGGCTGCCTGAAAATGGCATCCTCTGGAGCCCCAGAGGCTGCTGGCGTGGAATCAGAAGATGGCTGGGGAGTTAGGCCTGAGATATTCTTTGCTTTGAACAGCAAGGACTTAAATAAATGAGGCTTGAACAGGCCTACAAGGGAGGGCTGGTCGGGGGCGATGCCCTCATCCTCCGACATGTCCCCTTCCAGCTGTTCCACTTCGGAAAAGGGCTCAGAATAGTGGAGGGACCCCCTCTCTGACCCTTCCTCTGCCCTGTAGGGTGCAACGGCCATTTCCTCTTCCTCGTCCTCCTCTTCCTCCCCTTCTGGGAAAGGAGGGTCCCCTTGGGAAGGTACCTGTCTGTGGAGAGTCACCAGTCTGGGTAGAGGTTCTCTGGAGGCAGAATCAATCTCGGGTGCCATTGCTTGAGAGGCTGTCTTGGACAACTGTTGCATACCTTCCGCGATCCCCTGGCGGATGGCATGCTGCAACCATTCCTTAACGCTGTCAGGTATGATGCTAGTTGAAGGGTCTTCTGGGCGTAGGCCAGCAGCGGTTGGGGTGAAGGTCGCCTCTGGAGTTCGAGTGGCCCGGGGGCTCTGGACAGGTGTTGTGTGCCTGGAGAGAGAAGGTTGTTCTGGCAGGAGGTTGGTTAGAGGTAGAGGGAATAGAAGCTGGAATTACAGAATGAGAATCCCTGGAGCGCCTATCAAACTCCTTTTCCAGAGCTCTGTGGCGCCTCAGGGCGTCCCTTTCAGAGGCTGTGGTAGGTTCCTTGGCCCTTTTGCGCAGATGGTGAGTTTTAGACTTAGCCTTTAGGGAAGGCCCTCTGGGATTTTCCTCTGCCATTATAACCAAAAGGTAGAAACAAGGTATATTGA